AGGATTAAGGTGTAGAGATGATGGATGGGTGGATGCTGCTGCACAGCCTTGAGAACAGTCACTTTGCATTTCTCTGCACATAACATACGAGCATTTGACAAAAACTATTGAATCTTTACTTCTGAATGCACACACAGACATTTTCAATTTCAGTATTTCACATCATGTCTGGTGTGAAGAATGACTTCTTTTAAAAAATTTTTAACTAAAACAACCAGATGTTTAATTAATAATACAGTTTCCGGCTGCAGCTTCGTGTTTCTTCTCACACTGTGATCCGTTATTCATCAAGGTGGAGCTCATGACTGCAACGTGACATGTAGTGACTTTAGGCACTCGAAGCGACACCGCCGCTTTGTTGTGTATTTTCAATCACCAACTCTCTCCACACACACACCAAGATGATCCGGTTATCGTCTCTGCTCTGCAGCTGAAGCCGCTGCCCAGGACCGTTGCTGTGAGGACGCTGTACGAGGCCCGGACGTGGAGCCACCAGATCCAGCACGCGGCCGTGTGGGGCAATCAAGAGCTCAGCCTGTCTGGTCTGTACTCGGCCCCTCCAGCGCCGGAGATGGGGAACCAGACACTGAAGGGTAATAACACGTCTGCAGAGCCTCAGCTTCATTTTTATGTCATGTTCACAGGCCAAATCCGGACTGACACTAGATTAGAACTGACTGTGACGTCCTGAGATTGTGGATCACAACAGATTGTTCAAATCTTTCTTTTTCCTTGACCTCAGTTCAGATCACCTGTATCCCCCGTCTGACCAGTCTGGAGGTGACGCTGGAACGCTCCCCGCTCGGCCGGCTGGACAGCGTCGCGCTCGGCTGGATGAGGCACGGACAGCTGGAGCAGGTCAGGCCGCACAAAGCGCGTCGTGACCCCGAAAAAATGCGGAGCTTCGTTCGAGCCTCGTGGGTTTCTTTTGTGAGAAACATCCGCTTTTGTCTGCGGCTCAGTCTTTTGTGTCCCCTTAGAATCTAAAATTGTCCAGTTCAATTAGGATTGCTCAGGAGTAGAGGCCGACCAGCTTCCAATTCGTTTCAAAACACTTGAGGGAAAAAATACATCTGGGATCGTGACCCTAAAAAAAAAAACAGAACCCTGCAGAGGGAAAGTCTCCTCACAGCAGTTTCTTTCTCCCAACTGAAATAAATCATCTTCTTATTTGGAGATTCATGATGCTGAGACATGAACAGACAGACGGAGATTATTTGATTTATTGGTGACAAATCAATAAGAGACTGATGTTTCTGTGTAGATCTCAGATGTGACACAACTAATTAAACACACTTGATTTTGATATTGTGCAGGTTTATTTATGAGCCAGTCGAGCTCATTTTCTTAGACAAATAGTGCATTTTAACATTTTAAACTGGAATCAGGCTGTGATGAGACGAAGGCTGTTTTTTTTCAGGAGCTGAATTAAAGAGAAAAATCTCACGCTTGTATTAAACTGAGCTCAGTTATGTGCAGGAGGAATAAGATGAACTAAGCAGAGATGTTGTTTTCTTTTCCTCTGAGTCATGCAAACATTAACGAATTTACTTTTAATGAATCCAAATGTAATGCTGCCATTTAAATTATACCTGTACGCTCAGCTACACGTTCACGCTTGCGGGCGGCATCCTTCTCGCTCGACACTGACAATCTGCTCGACTCAGCACAGCCATAGACTGTATAAAAGATGGACGCAGCAACCGGCCCTGAAAAATGAAGCCAACCCGGAAGTGTCAAACACCTGCAGTATCACTACGTCCGCTAGCTGCTGGCTCCACAAAGCCCTGGCTCCCATAGACTGGAANGGTTCTGTGTCCCAGAGATGAAGTGTTCTGGTTGAAATGTGTGAATCAATCCCAGAACAAAAGCTAAAGACCTTGTGAAGATGCTGCTGAAGCTGGTCAGAGAGTCATTATCCACAGTTTCCTGTACCGACATGGGCTGGAAGGCTGCTCAGAGAGGAAGAAGACATCACTCCAGAAGAAACATAGAAAAGACAGATTACAGTTTGTAGATGCACACAGGGACAAAGAGCTTCATCAATGGAGACATGTCCTGTGTTCTGATGGAACTAAACCTGAACTGTTTGGCCTGAATGACCATCGGTACATCTGGAGGACAACGGTGGAAGCTTGAAGCCTGAGAACACCATCCCAACTGTGAAGCATGGGGGTGGCAGCATCATGCTGTGGAGGGACTGGTGCACTTTACAGAATAGATGGCATCATGAGGAAAAAACATGATGTGGAAATATTGAAGCAACATCTCCAGACATCAGCAGGAAGTTGAAGCTTGGACACTAATGGGTCTTCAGATGGACAATGACCCTCAGCATAGCGCCAGATTAGTTACAGAGCTGAAAAGGCGTGTGGAGCAAGGAGACCAACAAACCTGACCCAGTTCCACCAGTTCTGTCAGGACAAATGGGCCAGAACTCATCAGACTGTGGTGAGAAGCTTGTGGAAGGAAACCCAGAACGTTTGACCCAAGTCATAGAGTTTAAAGGCAACGCTACCAGATGCTGAGGAGATGGATGGAAACTTCTGACTCTGAAGAAAGTAATAAAAAAAGTTCTCTCTCTCATTATTCTGGCGTTTAGCAAATAGAAATAATGTTGGTGATCCTGACTGACCTGAAACAAGAAAGGTTTAGCCTGATTTAATGTCAGACAGTGAGAAAAAGAAGGTTTTATGTCTTTTTACACAGTGGATGTAAACTTCTGGTTTCCACTCTAAGTGACGGATGTTCTTTTGTCCAGCAAGGACCTGATGGTGAAGGTGGTCCAGAATATTCCTGACATGCTGGTCTACCTGCCCTCTCAGCTCAACGTCCGCTCTCAGGTATGTTCTGGTTCTCAAAGGCACTCCTGTTAAACTAGAACATAGCTCCTAGTCTCCAAAACCTGTGCACAGGTATGATTTAAAGGCAATAAATCAGACCCTCCTCAAATTACAAACATGATGCTGTTGCTGTGTTGTTCTGTCATCTGCAGCGACTCGCTAAATCCTATTTTATTTTAAAGACATGTTTCTCAAACCACCAGTAGAGTCGAGCCATTGGGATGTATTTCTTGCAGGGAAGGAGAATAGCCTCATAAATTAGTTCTGTTGGGATCACAGTTGATTCTACATTAACTTTAAAAAGTCGCGTTAAAAAAAAAAAAAAAGAGTTCAACACTGTCAGATAAATTTCAGGCATATTTGGTCCTTTCTGGCAGTTCCTGCTGCCAGGAGGTTTCTAATGATTTTTGCACACATGGGGTATCGCTTCACTGGCAGATGGCTTTCAATAATCAGCAGCTAGCTGGTTATTTACAGGTAGAACAACACGTACATCAATAGAATAACTTTCAAGACAGCCGTAAAAGTTTTTGCCTTATAAAAAACAATAACACTCTAATTTCATACAAATATAATTTATTGAACTTTAAAAATGTAAATATGCTTGTTGGATGTAATCTATGTAAAGTTCATTAAACAGAAGGCGGACAGATGGTTGCACCCAAATAATAAATAACAATATTCAATTTTAGCACTTTTTAAGGTCAGAATTTGTGCTTTTACATAATAAAGAAACACAACACACACACAGACAAGGCAACACAGGACAAAAACACGTATAAAAAGTGCAGGCGAACACTCAAAATATAAAAATACACACAATAAAAATGGAAAAGAGCAGGCTGGGTCACTGCTGGAGGGTGTGTTATAATAAAATCAGTAAAAATGATTAAAAAGACGACATCACATCAAGATAAAAGCTGAAGATAAAAGTAGATGAAGAAAGAGAAGGACAGCAGGCAGTGCCGATATGAAAAGGGAAAAGAAAATCTAAAAGAGAACATCACTTTTAACAAGTGATTTAAACGAAGATGCTGAATTTGCGAGCCTTATTTCCTCAGGCAGGTCGTTCCAAAGCCAAGGTGCCCTCACAGAAAACTCCACAAATTTTTACTGTCAATAAAGAGAAGTAAATACTGTACCGGCTTCCTGCAAACAATAACCGAGTTCTCTGCATATCCTGTATTTAAGACCCATTTTAAACAGTTTCCTAAAGGCCCTTTAGGAAACGCAGATGTATAAAGTACAGTTGTGACTCGATAATCCGACACTAAATGTAAAACCTTCTTTTATGTCGGATAGCAAGGCTGTCGGATTGTCAAGACGGAGGTCCAGATACAAGGAGGGCTTGATGCTGGAAGGCTCATTAGTTGTTCATTATTGTTCATAGTTGTTATAATATCCAGTGTGCTGTTAGAACACTACGCATCGCTGGATTTCAGCCTAACTGACTGGTGTGCTGGTGCTGGAGGTCAGCGCTCTGACGGGGTGGAAATGTCCAGAACACACAGGCAGTACTTGGCTGCTGATGCTAGTTTAGTTAGCGCTCACACTTCTGTTTCCACCATCGGTGGCGGCGGGGGAGTGGCAGATACGCTCCACCATTACCATCCATGTTTACTTCCATAAACACTGAGCACGCTTGCTGCGTGTGACGTCGTCGTGTCCTCTTCTGTGCATGTGGGACACTTTTGGGTCGTATGAAGTTCACATAGCAGACAACATACAAGTCGCATTGAACTGGAAATGTGAAGGAACTCACAAAGAAATCCTCATTGAGCATCAAGTCCTGCAGTGTGAACGTAGCCAATCTGTGGGATTGTTCAGTCAGATAATACGCTGTTATCCTGATTGGTGACATCAAATGTCATGTCGGAGTCAGAATCCAAGGCTGTCAGTATGTTAAGGCTGTTTTTATGGGTTCCGTCGGATAGCAAGTTTTTCGGATTGTAAAGATTCGGATTATCGAGTCACGACTGTACATCTCTCCTGCAGCTCAAGCACACCAGCTCACCTACGACTCTGCAAAAACACTGTGAAACTCTTCTAGGTATAATCCCAAAGAACCAAAAACTGATTCTGAAGAAGAGTGATGACACAGAAACGCTGCAGGTTCCTTGGATTTGTTCTGTATGAACTCCTGAAAATACAGAATCTGTGTTTTCATGACTCTTGTTGGTGCTGGTTTGACGGTGAAACTCATGAGCTGTGATGCTGACTGATTATTTACTCATAATATTTCTGCCTCACAGCATATAAAATCACATAGGCATTAACAATGCAAACACCTTGACTTCATCAGAGTTGGACCTTACAGTCGATTCAGATGTTCTTGGTTAGAACTGAGCATGTTGTTTAAGTTAGTATTGTTTTTATTACCTACAGAGGAACTAAATTCGCATTCCAGCTATAACCCGGCATGTTTGCATCCTCTACGTTTATAGTGATGTTTATTAATGTGCATTGAATAACAAATAGCGTATGTATGAGCGTGACAGGTGAGTAGCCCTCCTCTGTGCTCCCTCATGCAGCTGAACAGGTCTGAGTCCAGCGTTTCGGGTCTGGTGGAGGTGTTGTCGGGCAGGAGGAGGCTCTGGGCTCAGGGGCAGCTGGCAGCCATCGAGAGCGGATACAGACAGGCGTTCGAGGTTAAGCACTCATATCCGCAGGTATTTATGAGCGCACACATCTCTCTGCTGAGTGTATCGAGCATAACAGTTATTTTAATGTAAGACGTGGTTCATACACATGCATATAATCATCGCACCTCGTCTGCCAGCGGTGGCACACTGCATCAGTCTCGATCATGTAAATAACATATATGTGGAAACACATGCTCTGTTGCATACCACAATGAAACAACAAGATTCAAGATTTAAGATTGACTTAATTGTCCCAGGCGTTGGAAGAGGAAGAAAAAAAATGCATATCAAACAAGAGCTGGGGGTCTTAAGAGGTTAAGATCTCTGCCTCGTTATTTTTCCAATTTTCTACAATTTTTTGAAGAACTGTACTTTTTTATATAGTTTTATGGGCTGCTTGGTGGCTCGGTGTTTAGCCTTGTTGCCTCACAGCTAGAAGGTCGCCGGTTGGC